ATTTATCTCTTGTGCTAAACATTGCAATCAAATGAATGAATAAATAAATTAATTTACTATAAATCAATAAAACAAATATTAATAAGTTTACAAACCTTTTGGTTAAATGACTTAAATAATTGATTTCAATGCTCTTTATATTAAGATCTGAGGTGTGATTATTGTCCGACCATTTTATTTGTCGGCCAAAAGCCGATAGCTTTCCGACGATATCTAAATTGAAAGTAATGTTTGCGACACTAATTGATGCCAACATCTCTTCCGATGTATATAATTGTGTAAAAGTGTGTTCCGTATCATTGGTTTGCTTTTTCAATTCAATACTAATTGTTTGGTTGTTATCTAAAGCTATGTTTAACTGACCGCCAGATGATTGACCAGCGGTTGTGACCTAAATGTTAGAGTAAATTATTTTTTGATAATAATTACAGTGAATATTGATTTAGGGTTAATGAAAACAAACCACAATCTGGTAGTGAAACACACAATAAGGTTCCTCTGCCTTGACTTTAATGTACAAATTATTGGGATATGTCTTCAATGGGTCAACACTTTTGTGTCTTTTGGACCAATACTTGGGCTCAAACTCTATTGGCCGACATTTGTGTCCTTCGGGCCCACAATCGCTACAATTGCCGTTCAAAAAGTCCCGATAACTGTCGCACTGATAGGCAATCATTTGGCAACTGTTTTCATCGGTGAGTAACTGATTGGCCAATAGATACTTGGTCACTTTATTGTGGCTGCAAAATATTCTCTCAATAACCGCTAATTAAAAACAATTGTGCATGCATAATCAAACTGATCGTGGTAAAAATTATAATATACATACACCACGTGAAGTTGGATCTCATTGTTTTCTTAGACTCTTCGGTTAGAAATTCACAACCAGGTTGTTTTTCGCCTATAATTACCCAATTGGTTAGCAATTAGTTTTATGATTAAATAAAATATTAACATTGTTGGTAATTTAGCAGTCAAATTAAACTTACCACCCTGAAAATAAAAATCATAATGGCCCATTGAGCCTTGAATGCCAATGAATCCACCAACATCCATCACATTAAATTTATCAATATCAGCTGCAATATTAATCACAATTAATGAGTAAAAAGTTACATAAATTAACAATTTTTAGATACATTGCAGTAAACGACTTGACGAGTGGCTAATTATGACGAGCTCTGCGTCCGACTTATCTAACCTAACGGCGCGATCATTGATGTAAAATCCGGGTCCCGCGGGATCTAAGCCCGAGATGTGTCCGTACTTTTTGCCGGTCAGTGCCGTAAAGCGTCGGCCGTGAAAAC